ACTCCTCATGTCACAGCAGACGCAACTTGGGCGGCGCAACTCAATAATAATGCAAGCCATGAAATCGCGTGAATTGAGTTGAAAGAGCCAGGAAAGAGCTCTGGGATTGGCTGACGACGCTTTCTTGTCTCGGACGGCTCGGCACGCTACTTAAAGAGGTACTTATTCTCTCCTCGATCAGGACAACAGTTCACAACCATGGGCGCATCAAAGTCCATCAAGACCATCAAGCAGTCAAATTGATATGATTCAATAGTAATAGAATGCTATTCGCTGAGTAGGGTATAGCTAGAATGAGAAGCGCACCAAACGCCAGTTTCCCACAGAATCAATCTCAACGACGAACGTTCAGCATCCCCATTCCACGTCTAGCAGCACTCCGGCTGTATCAACCATCTTCCTCCTTCGCTTTCCTATTTTATCATGCATCTTCTACCCCTTGTCGATTCACAAGCCCATTCTGCTCATCGCCAGTCTGTTCCATGCTCAAGTCTGCAGATCGCCCTAAGTCGTTCTCAGATGTCGTTACGATAATGCTCAGCACCCCGACGAGCACCACTCGCAAAGTTGTAGTCGTCGTCATCATCGTCTCTGGCGTGGAGAAGGTCTTTTGACCAACCCTGGAAAGGTTTCTTCAGAGCGGTCTTCAGCGAAGCTGTGCCTAGCGCAAGACTTTGGTGCGTCGATTGAGAGCGTGGCACTGAAGTGGTGACCGATGAGGCTCGAGTTGAAGGTTTAGAGGTTTGCATGACCATGTTGACGATATTGAATGGTCGACACAGGGGGATGTGTTCGTGGTAATGAAGTTTGAGGAAGCCTCGAACAATCGGGCAAAACGACGGTTAGATGATCACAAATCTGGTAGTAGGGTATTCTGAGATCCTCCAATTCACCAGACCACTGACTCACTATATATCCATCCCTTCATGAAGCCCAAAAGCACCATGTCGTCCCAACAAACGTTGCGCGCCGAGCCATCGCCGAGCACTTAACCCTGCCATGGTCTCCCCCAATCTCATACCACATTCGTATGACAGAACCCACTTTCGACATTGACTAAGTTTCAAAGAATTCTGTTTTCTTTTGGACTAATTTGGAGCGAAATGCAATTTTCGCTGATTGGTGCGTGGCAAACGGTAATGATTCGGGGCTTCGGAGGTCGGGAACGCTCGGCAACACAGGGCACGCAGAGGTCGATGGGGACTTTAAATCTGTATTACACAGGTATGACGATGAAAATTGATTCAGATATAGGATGAGTGGCTAAGAGGATGTTGAGAGATAAGTCATTAGCTAGATAGTCTTTTAGGCTTGATGGGAAATCACCAGGAACTCTGCTAATCACCCACCATTACGCTTGTATAGCTGTGTATGAGTGTCTTCATATAAGTGCACTGAAATGACTCGAAGAGTGCGCCATAATTGCAGCTTTGTGAAAACATCAGATCTATTCCTTCTCTTACGCCTCTGGACTTGGAAGCATACTTAGCCCGTTGTAGCATGGGTACCACGACTAACACGTATATGTATCTCGTCGTCTCCGTTTTGTCATGTTCAGGGCCTCGACTCTTTGAGTGGATTTTCGATGCTTGAACGAATGGTCTAGGCTCGGGGATATCAGCAACATGATGCGCTATTGACGGTAAAACAACCAGTGACGAATCGTCGACCGACCGTTACCAAGGTATGAACTAAAACTGTGCCAAACCTTCAATGAATGATCACACTACTTAATTACTCCTCCAGCGTGTTAAAATAATCCTTTGATAAGCTCGAATGTGTCTGGCCCTTGATTTCTACTAGCTTCTGCGCGACTTGTTGCCTCTTCTTCCGCGACATAGTGGTCCGAGAATTGAGAGATCCACATACACCCGAAGGCGTTTCCTCGCAGCGACATACCCTAAAAGTACACCCTGATCCATTCTCCGAGTTTTAGTTGCGGGCATGATATAACGCAATTCACTTTCTCTCCGCACTTCCAATGAACACGACTTCTACTGCTGCCAATCCCGCCGTGGCCATAAAGATCTCAATCCGGCGCGCACTAGTAAAGATGACTAGTATTGCCGCAAAGGCTGCTGTGATACCAATCGCCGTGTAGATCCGCAGCAGCAGGCTCTTTTGGAAGTAAAGGCCTAGTATCGCAATCATAGGCATTGTACTCGCGACAGTAACCGAAATGAGTTTCGTCACTTTACTAAAGCGTCCCTCGTGATAGTCCACCATGCCTGTCTCTTCGTCAATGACGCGGGCCCCTGTAAACTTCTTGTGTTTGTGGCCCCAAAGGCGATGGTAGAGAGTAATTGGCCATGTCGTCAACCATTTTGTGAAGGCATCTTGGTCTGGTGGAGGCTTGTTAAAGGTCAGTAGGTCGTGGTGGAAGTCTCGGTCCCAGGCGAAGAAATCATCCGTCTGAAGGAGTGATGCGCCTCCTTTGGAGTCGCGTAGCCATTCCTCGAAGAACTTTATGTTTGCTTTTGATGGTTTGTCGAGCTGGTAGACTGCGGCGGCTACATGGCGGTTAGTGCTCGTAGTTACTCGTGTTCTACTTTGTGGCTAGCAACCTTGAAGTAGTCTATCATCTGCGGCGATCAGTACTTGGATGCTTTATATCGGTATATAGATGGGCTCACTGTATTCGTTCATTTTCTCCCGTATAGCAACTAGCTTTTCGTGTTGAAAATTATTTGGCGATTTTTTAGATCCAAATAAGTCCGCAAAACTCTGATGAAACTTTTGTCCGCTTTTCTCATCATCTGCACATATCGAGTAAAAGTCATCGCGAAGATCTACCAATTCAGCCTGCAGGCTCATCAGGCTGAGGATATTTAGATCATTGAATCTGCGGAAGATTGTAAGGTCACTACTGCAGCCCATAAGGAATGCGAGCTTGTGGTAGCCTTGTGGCTTATAGTTTGCGGTCATTTTGCTGAATTTAACGGAGGGAGGAGCGGAGAGGAGATGGACAGGTCATGGAGCACCAAAGTCTCAAAGCCAAGCTGTTTGTCTTCTAAGGCTTCCATTATGTGGCGCAAGGCTGACACTTGTTGGCAGTCATGGAACGCCACAGGCGCTTGATGTAGGCGACAGCCATTTACCTGCATGAGGCTGAGCGGGGCTGTATAGGCTCAGAGGAGTCTTTAAATCAAATAGAACTCACTCTGCAACTTTTTTCCGTTCTGTAAAGCTCGACACCCATTTTCAGCCTTGTCCAGAAATTTCGCCAGCATTATGGAAGTTCTAGGCGTCCTCGGCTTTGTGGGCACCGCAGTGTCTCTCGTAGACTTTACAATCCGGACTGGATACCACTCACAAATTACACATCTGGAATTCAAGCACCAACAGTCAGAATACGATGTCATACGGCTCACGTTACAAGAGGCCGTTAGGACGGTAGTGAGCGATGGCGCCCCGACCGAAGCAGTCCAAGCCTTGATGCTGTTATGCGCAAAACTTGATGAACAGTTATGGATCGAGTTCCACAGAGTAGAGCGTAATCTGAAACGTAAGCGCATGCGCGCATATGGACTCGTGCAAGTCCTCGTGCGGAAAGAGGAACGACGAATCGCATACGAGGCCTTTAGAGACGCCGCCCTGCTCTTGAGGGATATGAGCCACAGGTAAAACATCCTAGTACTTGGATCTGGTAACGTTCTCACTATTCTCAGCATTCAGATGAACCGACAAATGTCCGGGATGAGGTAAGTCCCTCAGGATCGATTCATGTTCAGCACTGATTTTCAGAACAGATCTGATATCGCTGACATACAGGAGGGTTCATTTGACGAAGATAGCGAGAGTGTGACAGACTGGGACCCCAAAGAGTACGAGCAAAGCACAGGCGTAAATCTTGAAGACATCACCCAGTCTCATCTAAAGACCCTGCCTGAGCGACCTCTACTCAAAACTTTGACTGGCTCAAATTACACCTTCGATGGTACCCTATTATGGGTCATTGGAAGCCATGTACGCTACACCCCTATTCGGGGCTTGTGGGACACGGGAAGCGATGCCTTCATGATCACAAGAAAGATAATGGATCGAGCCGGTATAAAAGAGGAAGATGTTGAAAAACTTGAAAACGCACCCACAATACACGGGGTTAACGGTGCGACATTCAAGCCTACTCTCCGTGTGAAATTGATCTGGTACGTGAACCGCAACATGAATTCACAAGAGGACACATTCTACGTTGTCGAGGAGGCGGACTTTGATGTTCTAGTGCCTTATACCATGAGCATAGGGACTCGGTCAACAGGACATGGGAAGGAAGGGCAAACTGCCTTGATCTTACGACTCAGAGGCAACAAGACAGAAGGTGAGTGAAGCTGCTTTGCTTGTTTTCGGGGCCTGACTGAGCCGATTATAGAGGAGAGCCGGGAGGAGAAAGAAAACGAAGAAAAAAACACGGCATCGAGGTCGTTGCGCAACAAGACGAAACGGGAGGAGGATAGCAAAAAGCGAAAGGAGGAAATAGAAGCACGAGAGAAACAGGCCGCAGTGAACACCCCGGCCGCGAACCCCTGATGTGCTCTGCATGGACCATCAACATTTCATGTCTCTGTTCCCATATGTCGATTATCTTCACGGCATTTCGAAGCATGAAAAGTAGAAGGTTTTAGTTTTAGTTTTTCGAAGATTGTGTTAAGAGTTCGTATGATTAACCGAGAAATACCACCGCACGCGCGCGCAGCACAGCCATTTGCGGGGATCGAATTACATGAATTAGTGATTGACTGATTTATGGCCACATAGAGGTGGGGATTTTGCAAAGTGTCAGCAAATCATCTTGTATTATTGGCTGGCGTTGTGGAGGCGCTGGCCGCTTCTGGTCTACGCCCGAGTGACCCCGCTTTACTTCACAGAATTTTTCTGCCCCACTCTGTGAACCATAGCGGGCAAATAGATTTGCAAATGATGCTAGGGGGCACATCGGATTACTTTTGATTTTGTTACATTATAAACCAACCTTTCCTTCAATCTTCCATCAATCATCTCACGGACGGTTGGCGCAATGGTAGCGCGTTGGTTTTCGGTCGACCTGTTTCAAGCAGCTCTAGATAACACCAAAGGTTGCGGGTTCGATCCCCGTGTCGTCCTTTTTGCCATTTTTTTTGCTCTTTCCTCTTCCTTTAATCTTTTTTGCCCTCTTTATCAGTTGAAGGGTCGTGGTAATCGCTCCGGATGCCAGGGACCAGGTCAACACCACCTCCTTTTTGCACCGAACACCAACAATATGAATATGAGCTTGGATATCGTTCTCCAACCGCTGCCCCTCGCTATGTGGCTCACGGCAAATTGCACATCCTTCGGCCATCTGAATCTGAAGGCCATGACAACCATTGCCAACCCGGATATGGCATAGCTATCCACGAGAATGTGCGTGCAACTAAATAAGAATGATACATGTTCACTCAAGGCGTAGCAGGAGCGAACGCTTTTTAAAGAAGAATTCTTCCACGTTATAGCATTATTTATAAAATTCGTAAAACTCCATCTCCACATTTCGCAGGAAATTCACAAAACCATCTTGAACTCTGGATCTCTATCATCGCCCTTGCCCTCCCACTCTGCATACTTCCCATTCGCCTTGTCCCGATTAATCTTGTTAACCCACGCAACATTCGCCGCAATCCTACGACACTTGTTAGTATACTTGTCTCGCTCCAACCGGGGCGACAGAAGACTTACAATAACCACGCCGCACAAAGCAAACCCAACATAATGCTATGGCTTTTCCTGAATTCCGGACCCTCTTTCTTCTGGTACACGAAACTCGCCACAAAGCCTCCACAGTTTGCAATAGCGAGTTGCAAAGCCGAGGTCGTGGCGCGCTTGTAATGGCCCGCAGAGTTGTTGCTGTTCCAGGACAAGATACACGGGACAGTGGCGTACATGCCCGTCGCCATGAGGAACGTCATGCCATACTGCACATGAGGATTTGCGATGCTGCGGATGACACCGTAGCCGATGATGGCAATGGGGAGCGTGCACAGCATGACCGGGCCACGCAGGTTGAGGCGGTCGGACAGCAGCGCGACGAAGACGGTGCAGACTGCGGCTACAGCGTAGGGTATCACGGTCCAGAGCTGGACTTCGTTTGCGTCTTTGGCGATGTGCAGGCCATTGATGATGGTGGGGAGGAAGAGGCCGAAGGAGTAGAGACAGCAGAGGATAGCGAAGTATGCGAGAGCGCTGAGCCAGACTTGCAGATTGAAGACGCCGCGTTTGACTTCGGCCCAGTCGAAGCGTTCGTGTTCGGAGCTGTTTTCGTCGAGACGGTTACGTGCGCACTGTTTCTCGGTTGGGGAGAGAAAGCCCGCGGATTCGATGGAATTGGGTAGGAAGAGGGCGGAGCAGAAGCCAATGAAGACGGTGAGTAAACCTTCAACGATGAAAATCCAGCGCCAGCCTTCGAGACCGCCTGCAGGCCCAATAGCGTTCAGTCCGCGGGCGAGCAGTCCTCCAAAGGCGCCTGAGAGGGAAGCAGCCGTGTAGAAAATGCCTATGCGAAGGGCGAGCTCTTGCCTCCGGTAGAAGTGAGAGAGATAGAGGACCTGGAGGTAATTAGAAACCATTCCATGTTTAGGATAGATGTCCTTACCATGCCGGGTAGCAGACCTCCTTCAGCAACACCAAGCAACGCTCGAACTGTTACGAAAGAAGCAAAGCTGCGTACAAAGCCCAGACACATAGTCAAGATGCCCCATACAGCAGTCAAAAGAGGGAGCCAGATCTTTGGCGACATTTTCTTCAGCACCAAGTTGGACGGAAGCTCACTGTATCCAATTAGTCGTTTGTCCTCTAGGAGCCCAACCACTGCACTGACCTTGCGATATACGTAGCATAAAACACGCAGAGACCAATCGCATACTGATGATCGTTGATGTGGATATCTGCTTGGAGGCCCAGAATTTTCGCGTTGCCGACATTCGTGCGGTCGATGAACGAGCAGAGGAACAGCAGCGCGAGGATAGGAAGAATTCTACAAGACTGCTGTTAGCGATGGAATCCACAGCGAAATTCCCAAAGGAAACGATTGGAAAACGTGACATACCTAACATCCATCTTAAACACCACGGCCCTCGTCACCTTCCCATCATCCCCTACATACCCCGCCTCAAGCTGCGTATTCGCACTACCCGTCTCCAGTTTCTCAGTCTGCATCTTATCCATGATCGAAAAGCACAGTCAGTCAGTCGTGTAAGTAGCGTAGCACCCCAAACTCGACGTCCCAGCAAAACAAAACAAAGACCCCATCCCCCATATATACCCCCGCCTCGGCACCTTCCACCGCACTCACCGAAGCCCACCGCACCGTCACACCTGCGACGCGCCCCTGCCCCCTGTGCCCCGTGGGGAACAAGGCGGCGGGATAAGCGGATCGCGCCAAGCGTGATTGGCGGGAATGCTTAGCATGACCCCCGTGACGTCTGGATGCGGGTAAAACGGGTGCAGATCGGCGTCAGCGGCCGCGGTGCTGGGGGCCGCGGGGATGGGGCTAGGGGGTAAATGTGTGGCCGATGGGCTGGGATGGGGATGATTAAAGATGCCGGACCGTGTGGGTTGGCTGTGTATCTGGGGGAATGGGTTGGATGCGGGTGAGAAAGGGTTTGGGGTGCTGGTTTGGACGGCGACAGGATTCTGAGTCCGGGGTGTAGGGTAAGACAAGCACCGTGCCGCGAGATTCTTGGGGTCGTTAAGCATGCTAAGGCTTTTGTGTCGCCTTGGCTTTTTTTTGGGGGGGGGGGGGGGGGGGGGGGGGGGGGGGTGTAGAGGCGAGATGTCTCGTGAAGCTGGATACGGAGAATTACGAAATGGTGTGCAGTTCTTCTCTTTGCGGCGATTAAAAGACATTATCGCTTTGCCTGGAACATGATTCATTGGTAGCATCATTCCTCGATGCTCATTTGAAACCACCACTCTATCCATGCAAGCTATCCACAAGGCAGGCTTAAACCCATAATCCTATGTACAAAATTCTACAACTCAAATAAGCTACCATTTACTCCATATCTTTCAGATCAGGCGCAACTTCAAACCTCGCATCCGTCTTACTCCTAATCTCCTCAACACTAACCCCCGGCGCCTTCTCCGTCAGCGTCAAAGTCCCCCTCTCCCTATTCACCTCAAAGACGCACAAGTCCGTAATAATAGTGCTCACACACTTCGCGCCTGTAAGCGGCAACTTGCACTCCTGGACAATCTTGCTGCTCCCGTCCTTGGCAACATGCTCCGTCGCAACAACGACTTTGGTTGCCTCGGGATTGCTGACGAGGTCCATGGCGCCGCCCATGCCCTTAAACACTTTGCCCGGCACCATGTAGTTTGCGAGATCGCCTGAGGCACTGACTTGCAGGGCACCGAGGATGGAGACGTCGACGTGGCCGCCGCGGATCATGCCGAAGGACTCGGCGCTGTCGAAGGTGGAGGCGCCGGGGAGCAGTTCAACGGTTTCTTTGCCGGCGTTGACGATGTCGGCGTCGACGGTTTCTTCGGTGGGATGGGGGCCCATGCCTAGGATGCCGTTTTCGCTTTGGAGCCATACTTTCACACCATCCGGCACGTATGATGCTGCTGTGGTTGGGATGCCGACTCCGAGATTTACATAGTATCCGTGTTTCAGTTCCTTTGCAGCTCGTCGCGCGATTCTTGCGCGGTGATCGTTCTTCTTGAGGCGTGTGTCGTGGCTCGATTTGCTGGTATCTCGGAGCTTCTTGATCTCAATGTTCTTGGGTGCTGTGGCAGGTACGATGCGGTCGACGAATATGCCAGGGAGATCGACTTCATCCGCATCGAAGGTGCCGATGGGGACAATTTCTTCGGCTTCGACAATGGTGAGTCGTGCAGCTTTGGCCATGATGGAACCAAAGGCTTTGGTGGTGTATCTGCTTCATCTTAGTGATTGTCTGTGATATTCATTGCCAATACTAACCTGAAAACACAGTTTCCAGCCTCATCAACCTTGTGGGCTCGAATAATCGCGACATCGCCAGATAGAGCCGTCTCCATGAGGTAGTTCTTTCCATTGAACTCTCGCACCTCGCGTTTCTGGCCATACCCAATGGCTTTACCCTCCTGATTAAACTTTGCAGGAATCTTCCCATCCTGTAAAAGTGTATTTACAGCTGTGGGTGTGTAGAAAGCTGGGATGCCCGCACCAGCAGCTCGAATCCTCTCTGCAAGAGTACCTTGAGGACAGAGCTCGATTTCGATTCCGCCGCTCAAGTATTGCTTCTCCAGAGCCTTATTATTTCCTAGGAAGCTTATAATGAGCTTGTTGACTTGTCCGCTTTGTGTAAGATGTGCTAAACCGCCGACACCTTCGATTCCGGCATTGTTCGATACAGCCGTGAGCGAATGTAGAGATTCTGCTCCTCGCCTTTGCATTGCTTGGATAAGCGTCTCTGCGATACCGCATAATCCAAAGCCTGCACTCAGCACTACCGAGCCTGGCTGAATGTCTGCAACAGCTTCGTCTGCATCTTTAAAAAGTTTCGATTTCGACCGATCAATCGTTGGAGCGCGAGATGCTACAGCACCAATGCTTCTTCTTTGGTTCGCAAACCTCCAATGTGAAGCTGATGAGCGCATAGCTCGAAGCTGTGCGGGGAGCGGCCGTCGTGAACATATTCGCGACGGCAGGGCTGCGAGCAAACGGTATGAAGAAGGTACAACGTCCATTGTGTAAGGTGTGCCAAAACGAAGCAACGAAAGAAACCCTCTCTTCTTAATAGATCAGTCGCCAGCCAAAGGAACCCAAATTATTGCCGACGGCGGAAAGCACCGGACACAATGCTGCTGTTAAGATGCCAAACCCACCATGTCGCGGGACCGGCACCGGAGCAGCGCGCTGTCGCCATGACGTTAGCTTCCTGACGCGACTGAGATGGAAGGGAACTGCAGCGATCGGCACCAGAAAAATCGCCGATATCCGCGGGGTCAATTTTTTCGCCGTTGAGGCCGGCATGGCGCGCGAACCACATATGGGCAAGACCAGCTGCTTCTAAGCGAGTGAACTTGGTATCCAAGAGATTCTCGTAAAGCATTCATCTTGGCTAAATTGTAGTGGTTGTAGATTTGGCTATTGTCAAAGAGGA